GATCATCACCATCATAGCTGTCATCATCATCATCATCATCATCATTGTTGTTTCTATTTTCATTGTTGTCAACAGTGATCCAATCATCTCAGCCTCCTCACCATCACCATCACCATCATCATCATCATCATCATCATCATCATCACCATAACTGTTCTTGTTGTTGTGATTACTATCACTATTGATCTGCTCATCTTAGCATCGTCACAGGCACCATCATCATCATCATCATCATCATTAGCATCGTCAACCCACCGATCAACTTCGATCTCGCATAACTAATCATTACAACCACAAATCGTCCTATAATAAAGTCAAAGCCTAGGCGACCAGCCGGGCCACCTGTGCCACCTTGCTTTCCCGGGCGGAAAAAAAAAAAAAAAAACCCGAAAAAAACTATGGTATACAGAAAAATGAACTGAACAACTTTYGCCTCAGGGTCACATCGAAATTCTTTACCCAATTCAATTTTATTTATTTTTTGGCCCGGCCGGGCAAGTTGTCTGGGCCACTCTGGTAGTCTAGGTCAAAGCACCATCATCAACAACCTAATCAAACCAATATTCATTGCCATCAAGAATCTCCTCCTCCTCATCACCATCATCATCCTCACCAATGACATCATCATCATCATCATCATCATCAGCAGCAGCAGCAGCAGCAGCAGCAGCAGCAGCATAACATTTTCTCAAAACATGAGTCAGCCAGTGATTGCCTTACCTTGAGGCTACAGAGCTGGGGTACAGTCTTCTGCACATGTTGCTGAACGAAGTAGAGGCCGACGGAGGGCTCGTCTGCCACTCGTTTCAGTACATCCGCGAGCCTGTCGTTTACTATATTTTTGGAAATGCATCAGAGATTGGTGGGATGAGGGGGGGGAGAAAGGATGATATTTACAGAGCAGTGAGGGCACACATCAAAACACCCAACAGATTGTGAGCACAGAATAGAGAGTCAGCAAAATCTGCCGAGGGAGAACATTTCGCAACCAGTACATCCCAAAGAAGATGAAGAAGGGGGAGGAACAGCCAAAAGAGAAAACTTTGAGAAAAAGAGAAATGTGCAGCGAACTTCCCGAATTCAATCCCTGTTCCCGGCATGCACGAAGAGCATTCACACGATAGATTTCACACCAAAGCCGAAAGATGATACATCAATCAGCGCACAAAGAATTTCCGCCGGGAATTATAATATTAAATATGATGGAAGAGTTCCAGTATCCTGCGGTCTCAGCCGCGATCCAACAACAGCAATGTGACTCCCCCTCCCTCAAAGGTGTGTGACTCTCTCTCTCTCTCTCTCTCTCTCTCTCTCTCTCTCTCTCTCTCTCTCTCTCTCTCTCTCCTCACTGTTGCTCTCTCTCTCTCCTCTACCTCTACGTGGATCTACCCTGATAACCCCCGTGCAGCTCCACCTCGAACCTCTGCGGCTATGGCCGCCTTCTTCCTCCTCCTAACCCTAGCTATGGTCGTCTTCTCCCTCGCTGGGCGCCTGCTTGCCTTCAGCGCCACCCTCAGTCCAAGTCGTGCTATCGCACAAGCAACCAGCAGTGCTTCCGCAACTTGCGAATGAACAAATGATGTGCCCTTGGCACTGTAGCAGCTATAAATAGAAACTGCTGACTCGAATTGCCTACTCTGGACAGGTATCGGGCGCCTGAGGCCTGTCTGCTGGCACATCTGCATCGTTCCGGAAGTCTCCGGACTTTCTTGGGATGCTGCTGCAAAATTGGACTTTGCGACTGACTTTTCCTGTCGGTATGACACTTCGACTTCCAACGGCACCGGACTGCGACGCTTCGACCTATGGACCCCTACGAGACCCTATCGACCTGGGACTCGACCTTGGGACCTAGTGGGGGGCGCGCCTCACTGCGCGCCAAGCTTTGCCGAATTGCTGGCGGTGCACTTTTATTCTTTTTTGGCCGGCGCCGCCAGCCATAGTGGTACAGTTGGCCCGAGGCGCAAAGTTTTTGGAGTACACGATGAACTTTTTTCCACAAGGCTGGGGTCGTGTGGAATTTGTTTCCCATTGCGCCTTTGGCTCCAGTCTGAGGATTCTCCAAGACGCTCACCTGAGGAAGGGCTTCCCGAAAACCCAGACTGTTTTAACAAGCTGTTGGCAGCAACGCGATGAGATCTCTAATGAACGCCAGGCCTGGGCACTTTGGCTGCTCTCTTTCACAGTGGTCTGGCTCGTACAGAGACACACAAGTAAACATAACATGCAAACGCTGTCATGAGCTCTCGAATCCACCGTCCACCTATGGTGCTATCGTCCTGCGTCGCGCTCTCGAATCCACCGTCCACCTATGGTGCTATCGTCCTGCGTCGCGGAAAATTTGGAAATGGTGATTTTATTTGCCAATGGGAAAAAAGCTCCGGTAATGCTTTCCCATGGCATTGGAGTTGGGTTCTGTTGGCAGGATCTCCAGAGATATCAACCCTGTCTAAAGGGTGGGTGTACTTTCGTGGCTCACACGGTGAGGGCTGTTGGCTGTGTGGTCATCTGGCAAGAACTAAAAGACAGGTGGGAGGTTTCAAAGACAAGGAACTGACAAATAAGGAAATCTGACACTTGTTCCGCTCAAGGAATTGACAAACAAGGAAATCTGCGAGCATACTCATGCAAACAATTTTCTAAATGTATCTGACTGCGATTATAGCCAGACCTGCACGAATCTGACAACGATAACGTCCAGAGCTGTGTCAAAAAAGTCCTACTGTGAGTATGCCCCGACACTTGCTCTGCTAAAGGAACTGACACAGATAAGAAAGTCTGACATCACTGCTGACGTGGCACTGCTGTCGTGGCACTATGTCTGACGTGGCACTGTGACCTGGCACTGCTGATCTGGCACTGTGACGTGGCACTGTGACTTGGCACTGTGACGTGGCACTGCTGATCTGGCACTGTTACGTGGCACTGCTGATGTGGCACTGTACTGAACCGGGATGCATGCAAGGGGTGGGTGGG